ATGGATACGGCCAGCAGCCATCAGCGCTACTCAGTTGCCTGGCCGGTTTGAATTCATCACCTACGAAGGCTACGAGTGATGCTAATCCGAAGAGGAGTCGATGCCGGTCTCAAACTCACCCAACTTGAGTGATCTGAGTTGAATATTCTTACCAGTAACAATGCCATGATTTTTCAGGAAGTTCAGACCTTCAAACAGGTTGCCACCCTGACAGCCCCTCGCTCTGAAGATGAAGTAAATCTTAGCTGTCATTCAGAGAACGCATTGCTATCGCCCGTGGTTGAATGCATTTCTCTCACTTGGGACATCCATTAGCAGGATTGCAGCATGAAGTGAAGTAACCGACAGATAGGATATCTCTGAAGCTACCGCCGGACTTGATGCACACACGATCATTGAGCATTCCGGTTGGGCTTACAGCCCAGCAGTTGTTACAAGCACTTTGATCTCTGAAAGATGGACCTCCATCCAGGAACTACCATAACAGCAGTAGAGAGGACTACCTCACATGCCCAATGACTCCAGCACAAGAGGCAAACTTCTGCCGAGCGTCGAAGTTGCTTGGTAAGTCCTTCAATTCCGGCTTTGTGGGTCCGAGGAGGCGAGTTTCGTCATCAGAAGTAGAAGAGGGCTTCGGCCCGTTGGGACACCCAGTGGGGACATCTTTGATTGACATACCTGTCGAATAGTAGCACTGGTTCTCGACTTTGCCGCTCGAGGTAATGTTGAGCATGAAGTTCATCGCGTACCCTTGAAAGGTGGCTGATCTTTGGAGGCCGTCCACGACTGCTGCATCGAGTTGATTTTGTCAACCATGGATTGCAATAAAGCCGGCTTAGTGTTGTTGAAGAGCTCAATCAAGGAGTCAGTTGGTACTTCTTCCTTCAGAAGCACCTCATCCAGCTGATCTTTGAAGCGGGAGAAATGTTCAGAGTGCTCATCGGGAGTATAGACGGAACCTCAAAAGAGAACCACAACGCTTGAGCGAATACACCTGAAGCGTTTATACCACTCAAGTCAGTGATCTTGTCGAATACGCCTCGGATGTGCGGACTGTCACCCTGAGATA